TTATTTTATCAATTCTAAATAATAAAATAATTCATAATATGTAGTTCACAATGAATAATAGTTCATAGGTACGCCTGGACATAAAAATTGAAAAATTAATATGCCTACCTATATGTATGTCGTAAATGTTATTGAAACTTTTTTTTTTCTTTTTTTTTATTATAAAATCGACTTTGTTGTGAGTTTTCTTTTCTTTCCAAAGACGTGACGTCATCGTTTTCGTTCAATGATGTGTTTGAAAACTGGACACTAGTGAAATTTTCTATAAATATCTCAAAACGGGGAAACCCTTTAGTTGCTCTTTTTTCCTACCATTCGCTGGTAGCCTAGGGGGCTACTCCAGTTATGCTGTGACCGATAGTTGAGCTCACGGGACTCAACCTGAAAGAGTTTGCTAACACTGACCTTAGCAAGAGCAGTGCTTCGTAGAATCTACCACCAGATCGGAATCGCGGCCCTTTTTTTCTATCTATGCTGATAGCCTTGAGAGGCTATATAAGTTTTACCCCAGCGTGTAGGTGAGCTCTCGGGGATCAAACCGGAGGTGTTGCTAACACTGGCCCTAGCAAGAGCAGTGCTTCGCAGAATCTACCGCCGGATCGGAATCGCCGTCCACTGAGAAGATCCAGCGAGAAACTCAGTGGGCTGTGTCAATGGGTTAGTTCGCTCGTCGAGCTCATGACGGAGACCGGTGCTTGAGGGTCCGAAAAGCATCGAGAGTGAATCCGGGGGATCCGACAAGACATGTTTCGGGCGACCACGGCTTTGCGTTGCCCCGTCACGGTCGGATGGGCACGCTCTCGGCTATGTTGTTTAAAAAGTTAATCTATATATTAATACGTGAAGCAAAAACTTTGTATCCCTTTTTACGAAAATTGCGCGGACGGAGGAGTATTAAATTTTCCACACTTATAGAGAATATAGAGAAGAAGTGCACAATGCTAATATTTTTTTAAAATAATGCATAAAAGATACATTAAATCAATAAAGAAAACATTACACACACTACATACCATGTATTTGACGCACACACGCATGCATAGTATTTATTGTCAATCTTTTGTTCTTGACGTCTGTGGTCAAATTGACAATAGATTAAATATTGTTTGTCTTTGTTAATATTTTTTATAATGTAGTCTTGGCGAAATTTGTGATTACAATTCCAATTAATTATAGTCGAATTTCGACTACTGCGGGACTACTAGTTTATACAAATCTTCACTGTTGCATCTGGTATTTCGTGTAATGTACTCTGTCGAACAAGCAACATTCCTATCGCGTCCTACATACAACTTCGGATAATACGTCATAATAAATTTATGTTGTCTTAGTTGTTTCCGAAAGAACCCGCTTGCGCGTACACAATTTTCTTCTGACCTACATTTTTTTTATTGCCCTATGGGCAGACGATCGCACTACCCACTTGCTGGTAAGGTGTTACCGTCGCTCATGGATCTCAGCAATACCAGGGGCAAAACAAAGCCGCCGCCTACCGTTAAATACTCTCCACAAGCCTCGTCATAGCGCGCGGGAAACACCGTGGAAGGGAGCTCATTCCATAGCCGGATGGTACGTGGCATAAAAGATCTCTGGAAACGCACTGCGGAAGCATACAAACGTACATACAAGCATACATTACATTTCATATATAAATGTTTGATCCTCTTTGTAGGTGTTTAGTTTAAAACTAAATATGTGAATATTATGGTAGCGTGAAAGAAAAAGAAAGCAACACGCAATGTAACAACAAGAAATTACGAACTCTCTGATGCTTAGCAAATGAATATTGTTTGCCTATTCTTTTGAGGTAATTGCCGTTTCCAATTCGGAAACGGAAATCAGAAAATTAGTCTAAATTGGAACAAATTAGACTTGCTTGAATCGTTGGACTATAAAACTATTACATTTCGAGAATTACTGACAGTGTTGACTTGCTAAGGTTGAGGGTGAGCTCACCTACTTGTTAGGTTATGCTGACATAACCTCTCAAAGCTATCAACTTAACAATTCTATTGGTGTTAGGGCGCATTGTAGTCCCACCCGGTTAGAGCAGCCGCCAACCACGAGGTGGGTGACGACAATGACTGTAGGTAATAAATGGACTGCGGGGTCATTCACCCATAAATAAATAAAAAAACATATTAATTTCTAGTATAGTCTATTATAAAACAATTATGTGTAGCTAACTCTATTTGTTTGCAATAGGTTACAGTGTCTATAAATATATTCATCTATAATACAGAAATGGTGCTTACGTGAAAACCTGATGTACACAATAAAAAAAACCGGATTTTAATTGGAAAATTTAATCGTTATTGTTAATTAAAGTTCATTTGGAACTTAACCACCTTGTTGTTGGAACCTGGCTTTATTTTATTTTTTTCTACCTATTCTAGTAACCTCGTGGGGTTATACTAGATTCAGCGAACGAGAACCTGGCTGATATTTATGGGTGGGAGATTTTAGGGATGGGTAGTTACCGTTATCCTGTCTATTTTTACCACGAAGCTACCATAGCTTTCGAAGGTAAGCCTCAAACCGGACTTCGATCATGCCTAAAGGAAAGCGTTACTACGGCTTTGCGGCCAAAATAGACAGAAAAGTGGTACCCACCTGTGCGGGTCCACAAGACTCGCCTTATCACGAGAAATTACGCAAATTATGCATGCGTGTTTAATTTTTATAACACTTTATTATTATCCCTTCACCGTAGTAATTCGTGAATATGTGTTAAATACGTATTTCTTAGGAAAAATTGGTACCTGTCTGCGAATTTCGAACACCGGTACGGTCGCATCGCTTGATACGAATGCACCGGGCGTCTTATCCTCTAGGCCACGACGACTTTCAATTGTGAATTCGCGATTTATGTCCTGCAACCGTTTAAAATTAGCTGGTCTTCAGATTCACCAACCAACTTATCCTATAACAATGAAGCGTAAATTAATTAATAAAAAACAAACGTGTGGCACTCGGGAACTGCCGCGATAAAGCTATTGCATAGCATTTTTTATCAACTTATGCAATTATAATTAGACAATGATAGTTTAATATTAAAACTAACAAAACAAGACCACGCTATATTAAACATTAATAAAAGCAAAACCTTAACTGTCCCCTTCACGCTCATAAGCTAGACCGCGCGAGAGAGAGATGGGTGGACTTTTCATGATGCGCATGCAGTGTGACGTCACGCCACGCGCTTATTCACAAACACTACACAAGCGCAACGTGGCAATGTGTTGAACGCGAGCTACATGGTAGGAGGAGTGAGGGGTGTAAGGTTTTTTTCGTTACGGAATTTCATGATTCGGTCGCCGCGTTCAAAGCCCGCGATAAAAGCTATGCAATAGCTTAAAAATTATTTTATTCAAATTTCAACTGTTTAGTTTACAGAAATTAGAAACAGCTGTACCACATTCACTTAAGCATTCGTTAAAACTATGCAATAAAACTATTCATGAAGCAATTAATTATATTTTTACGTTCTGAAACAGACACGATCCTCCGGTACCTTGTGACATGTTTACCGATCATGAATAATTCATATCTCGGTCTTATCGAACGAAACAATACTCTACGTGCGAAAAAAATATCATAATTAGCCGGCAAGCAATACATCGCTTTCCAGCGCGTTTTTCAACCGGTTTTCTTGACGAAATCGTTGTTAGCTATGAAACCGCCCGTTAGGTATACTAATTATTATTCAATTGTAGGTTTCCGTTAATTAAAATAAATTTTGCTTTTTTCCAACCTAAGCTGATAGCCTTAAGAGACCATGTCAGCGTAACCTAACAAATAGGTGTATTTTTTTTGTTGCCCTAGTAGGCAGACTGGCATACGGCCCACCTGATGGTAAGTGGTTACCGTCGCCCATGGACTCCAGCAATGCCCGGGGCAGAGCCAAGCCGCTGTCTACTTAATATTATACTCTCCACAAGCCTCGTTTGAAGAAGGACATGTCATAGCGCTCGGGAAACACCGTGGAGGGGAGCTCATTCCATAGCCGGATGGTACGTGGCAGGTGAGCTCACGGGACTCAAACCGGACGGCCTTGCTAACATTAACCCTAGCAAGGGCAGTGCTTCGCTGAATCTACTATCGAATCAGAATCGCGACCCACTGAGAAGATCCGGCGAGAAACTCAGTGGTTAAATTCATTTCGATTCATTGAATTAATCATAAATTTTGAATTTTCCGTGGAAGTTTCTCTGTATTCACATCTGTTAAAATAAGAATTTACCACGGATACAACGTTAATTTGTTATGCTATCAATATCTGTTTGTATATTTAATACATTCGGAAAGTGTTAAAATAAAAAATAAAACCTTGGATAACGCAAAGAGAGAATAGCTAAGATCAGTGTGAGAGGCGGCATTTACGTTGAAGATGTCTATGAGCTCCGGTAACCAGTTAACACCAGGTGGGCTGTGAGCTCGTCCACACAACAATGCATAAAAAAAATGTGCCCCGAACCAGTGGGCAGTCGTCATACAACAAAGGTCTTTATGTTAAAGCGCAACTTATTTGACGTATAGACCTTGTTAAGCATTTTCTGAATCTATATATTAATACGTGAAGCAAAAACTTTGTACCCCTTTTTACGAAAATTGCGCGGACGGAGGAGTATGAAACTTCCCACACTTATAGAGAATATAGAGAAGGAGTGCACAATGCAATTTTTTTTTTAATAATGCATAAAAGATACTTTAAATCAATAAAGAAAACATTACACACACTACATACCATGTATTTGACGCACACGCATGCATACTATTTATTGTCAAACTTTTGTTCTTGACGTCTGTTGTCAAATTGAGATTAAATGTTGTTTGTCTTTGTTAATATTTTTTATAGTGTAGTCTTGGCGGAATTTGTGAATAAAGAAGTATAAAATACAATCATAATAGTGTACAAACTTACAATTCCAATTAATTATAGTCGAATTTCGACTACTGCGGGACCACTACTTTTCTGAATGCCGTGTTATTTGTTTCAGAGCAAACACTGACATGCAACCGACGTGCGGAGGCATGGACGAGCTACCTGACGTTACTGATGTCCTGAAGGAAGCCGAGCAGGTACTCATTGCATTACCGAAGCTACTAATTGTAATCAATTCCGCTTGTTTGCATTAAATTGTGAGGAAAAACGAAAACATACAAATACTTTTTTTTCTTTATTGCTTAGATGGGTGGACGTGCTCACAGCCCACCTGATGTTAAGTGGTTACTGGAGCTTATAGACATCTGGAGATATAAGTTCTAAGGTCTCAAGTATAGTTACAACGGCTGCCCCACTCTTCAAACCGAAACGCATTGCTGCTTCACGGCAGAAATAGGCAGGGTGGTGGTACCTACCCGTGCGGACTCATAAGAGGTCCTACCACCAGTAAAAACTTGCATTTTCTTAAGGACCGAAATTAATCACCATTGTACATCGATACGGTTTCATGGATTAATTTTAATTATAAAATATTCTAGTAGCTTTCATTGTACCCGTAAACGACACGACAGTTTTTATTTATTGCTTAACTGATGTTAAGTGGTTACCGGAGCCCATAGACATCGACAACGTCAATACAGCGACCCACCTTCAGAAATTAGTTCTAAGTTTCCGTTTTAATAGTACGACGGCTGCCCTTCACTTCAAAGTGAAACGCAATACTGCTTCACGGCCTTTTGCTGGCATTAACATTATCTGACCATGGCTATTTAAGTTGTTTTTTTTATTGCTTCAATGAGTGGACGATCTCACGGGTCACCTGATCTTAAGTGGTTACCGGAGCCCATTGAAATCTACAAAGTAAATGCCGCCACCCACCTTGAGATATGAGTACTAAAGTCTCACTTTTAACAGTACAGCGACTGCCCCGCCCTTCAAACCGAAACCGACAGGAATAGGCAAACCTACCCGTGCGGACTCGCAAGATGTCCTACCACCAGTAAATACCAGTAAAATACCAGTACCACCAATAAAGCTTAGTCGCCTACCAAAATAACGTTAATGTCACTGTCAACCAAACCTAGTATAATGTATTACGTTAATTTACGTTATAACATGACAAAAAGCATAACAAAAATATGTATTTAAAATCAGCTAAATAGAATAACTATCTATTTCACAAGTGATAATGTTAGCCCGGATGGGTAGTAATACCAGCGAACCTATATCTGCCGAGTAGCAGTGATGGGCTGAAATGTGGAACACCCATCATATATGCGTAGGGAAATACTTAACAACAGGTCTCAAAGCTCTTCAGTCGATTTATAAGAATCTGTTTTCGCATTTCAGGTAATTAGGCAATGCTTCCAAACGTACGCATTAGACGAGGTATTCTTATGTTTCAACGGCGGAAAAGACTGCACAGTATTATTAGACATCACAATAAGCGTACTCAAAGATATTTACAAGAGCTGCGACATAGGGAAGAACCTTAAAGTCGTCTACATAAGGACAAAGGGACCGTTTGTCGAAATCGAGAAATTCGTACAAGAGATTAAAATGTATTATGGTCTGACGTTAAAAGTAACCGAAGGCGAAATGAAGGAGACGTTACAGAGGCTATTAGAGAAGGACGGGATATTGAAGGCCGGCTTGATGGGAACGAGACGGAGCGATCCTTACAGCGAGAATTTGCAATTTGTTCAGGTGAGAGTCTTATGGATTACGTGCTTATTCTACCCAGGCGACGAGGCAAGGCAAAGCCGCCGTCGCCCAAAATATATCTCTGGTCGGAACACCCGAATTCACTCTCGGTGATTTTAGGCCCCTCAAGCACCGTCCTCGTCGATTACGATGAAGAGTTGAGTGACGTGCAAAGTAACCCATAGACACAGCCCACTGAGTTTCTCGCCATATCTTCTCAGCTGGTCACGATTCCGATCCGGTGGTAGATTCTGCGAAACACTGTTCTTCCTAGTACTGGTGTTGGCAAATTCTCTCAGGTTGAGCCCGTGAGCTCACCTACCCATCCGGGCGTACCTGGAATACTCCCTTAGTTACTAGCGAATAGTTAGGGGAAAAAGTCCACTAAAACCTCTGTAACTATTTAACTGAAACTTTATTTCATCCCATCTCATCTAGATTCATTTAAGTTCATCCCATATTGATTACAATCTCAAATAAATCAACTTCGCCTCTTTCATCTATATCATTTTTCGCTGCACATTTTTTTTTTACATAACAGAATATACAAAAGATTAGGCTGTACAGTATGATACTTTCGCCTTTCCTATTGGAAAATGGAGCTACTACATAATTTAAGTATAAAATTGACTTTTGACGTCTTATCAATCCAATTTGACACAATCTAATTTATGCGTTAACAGAAAACGGATGCGAATTGGCCTCAGATAATGAGAATATCTCCGCTATTGAACTGGTCTTATCACCACATATGGAGCTACATATTGCAACGACAAGTGCCGTACTGCAGTCTCTACGATAAAGGGTATTCACATTCAACCTATGCTTTNATAAAATTGACTTTTGACGTCTTATCAATCCAATTTGACACAATCTAATTTATGCGTTAACAGAAAACGGATGCGAATTGGCCTCAGATAATGAGAATATCTCCGCTATTGAACTGGTCTTATCACCACATATGGAGCTACATATTGCAACGACAAGTGCCGTACTGCAGTCTCTACGATAAAGGGTATTCACATTCAACCTATGCTTTTTTAATTCGATATATTATTATCCCATGTTAGGTTAAAATTTTAATATGGCAACACTCTTATTCGAATCTAAGTTCGGACTACATTTTGTTAACAGATATTAATATTTATATATTGAAGTCGTAAGATACTTAAAATTATAGTTCAATAGGATTTGTAAAGTGTAAAACAATTCAGACTTGCCTCATGCCTCAATGTGGGTAGCCAGTGAAGACTCGAGACCGGTGTGCTTAGTGCGAGTTTTTTAACGTTCTCGATATCGTAAAAGTTAACTCAAATTTGTATGGAGTTGGAACGTTTGCCTGCGTTTGTCGCTAGGGGCGCTGTTCCATCTGCATACAACTTTGAGTTAACTTTTACGCTATCGAGATCGTTAAAAACCTCGTACTAAGCACACTGATGAGGTGCGACCTCACCTTACTACATTAGAAATAACTATTTTTCACATATTTTTCAATATTTGAAATAATTCTACTTAATTACTTATCTAATAATTATTACTAAATTTATAGATTAATTCAACCATATTTGAGTTCTAATCTGAACAAATAAAACTAATTATTAATTATCATTTTTTTGTAAAACTAAAATGCATTTTTGGTGTAAATTAAATAATGGTTGACTTACGGCGGAGAGAATTGTATTTAACTGTTTTATCTTTGCCTATTTATACATAGTATGTATTTTATTAATTTATTTATTGTTAACATAGAAGTGGAAACACAATCATAATTTGCCACTGTGCTTGAACTAGCTGATAAAACTTGTATCTCAAGCAGCAGTGCTTCTCGTACAAAGAATACAACAGCTTTTACTTGTATATATGTACATAGATAATAACATTTTTCTTTCACAGGTACACGTCGATAGGAAGCACAACGAACACGTGGCCGAATCCAGCCTTAGCCCACAAGGACTGCTTCGGTTGCGTCACCTACCACCCCGCCTGGAGATTGTCCGACGCGTCCTTAGAAAGAGCCGGTCGAGGAAGTTCAGTGAAGGCACCCGTCAATGGAAACGGTACATATCACAATCATAGTTTGACGTCAACCATCAATCCTTGTATACGCAACGGAGATGTTCTTTGAATTTCGAATTTTATTATTTTACGGGTAGTTCGAAAATAGTTTTAGGTTTTGTGCAGCTGTCTTTGGAATACTAGGGTAATATATTTATATAGTATGGTATCGATAATTTTGTATCTGCTAATCTAATTTATTGAAATATATATACAGGTAACCTTCCTATTACACGGTATTTTACAACACGGTTCGTCTATAACACGAAAAGAAAAATTCTCCAAAACTCTCTTTTAATACAATAACTTCTACAACTAGATAATGAGAATTTTGTTTAAAATTATGTATATATAGACAATTAGATTATACACTATGAACACACAATATATATAATAGCTGAAATTTTGCTGCTTATTTTTTATGTGTAATAGGTAAAAAAATACGTACAGGCATAGTTGAGATGTTTCGTTCAGAAAAATTACTCGTCTTTTTGTACTGGCTTCTAGTCTCATATAAAGCGGTTTCACACAACGCGGGGCTTTGTAGGGACGTATCTACCGTGTTATAAGAAGGTTACCTGTATTGTCGATACCCTAATTAAAATTTGAGATGTTCAATTCAAGCCAGACCATGTTATTTGAGGCAGTTGTTTTTATTTTTATTTATTTATTTACTTACGGGTTTTATTCTATTAGAGGATAGTGTTATTACTACATCGTCGAGATCATTCGGTAATAAAATTCGACACAGTTGCAAATTAAAAAAAAAACCGCAATGTATAATAAAACAATGTTGCTTTCTACATAAGGCCACTCGGGTTAGTCAAACAAATATACAGATAAAACTATATAAATTTAGAGTCTATTAAAAATCTAGACATCACATCAATTATCTCATACAATCTACATATTTATTATAATGAAACTAAATTACTGTCCTTTTTCCTTTTCTAGTTGATATTCGATTTCAACTTTCACATTGAAAATAAGTGAATATTAAAAAATAAAATTGTGTTCTCATGACATTTTTATACGAATCTAATTAATAAGTACTTAATGCAATAGATTTGTACTTACATCGCAATATATGACAACTTCAATATTGCTTGAAAAAAGTACTTACAAGCAAACACATTCATTTTAGAAATTGAAATTGAAAAAACAATAAAAAACCAAAGTCAGAATTTAACTTTATTCCTCAAATTTGTAATCCTTGTCAGGACGTTAGGGCAATATTATAAAATTACATTTGTATTGGCATCGTCTTTCATACGTATGCAGATTTTTTAACCAAACGTCTTAAAATTACTTAAAAAAAAGTTACTTAAAATAATTTTGATTGATTGCATTTCACATATAGATATAGTTCAAGTTAATAAAAGCTTATTAAAAACGCTTTGCAACGAATAGCTAAAGGATTTTTTTACGAAATGACTTTTGCATACTTTTTAAGACCATCTAATCCAATCAATCAATCTAAATCAATAAAATCCATTCTAAGAACATTCTGCCATCGGTACAGTTAAAGAGTAGGATAACAGTTTGTTGTACAAATGACACTGACCATATCTATGTCAAAGAGGGAGAGATAAATCAGGTTATAATAGTTATGGGTTCCAGTATCCACTTAACACCAGAAATTTCGTTTTAAGTTTCATCAAAATTGTGGTTCTTTTTTTAAAAAAATACCCCTTATGTGCACTTACTTTAGTTAATTTGTTATTTCGGATAATCTTAATTGGAGTTTTATTATTGTCAATGCCATTAAAATCTATTATTAAATTCCGATTACACGCCCAAACTGATTCAATATTTAATAATTTATAGTTTTTAAATATCGTTAATTGAACAATGTCGGACAAGCCTCTTACAAAGAAATGGCATCAATAAAACGTATTGTGTGATTTTATCTTGAAGCTTTACTTTAAATTTTTAGATCAATTAATAAAAATAAAATATTAATTTCCAAATAATCAAAAATTAAATTGTTAAAATCATCATTGATATTGTCTGCTCAACATCGACACATTAGTTTGTATTTATTTAACTTTAGAAATCTCTACTAGATTAGTTTAGAAATATCTTACAAGAATCACTTTAAGTCACGTTAAAATGTTGTTATTATTTAATGTATGTACGTAAATGTATTAAAGTGTAATCGCATTAAAATATTATGATTTATAGTAAATTTACAAGAACAAACATCTTAACAACAATACATTTTAAAATTACGAAAAAAAATAGTTTGTTTGTTACGGAATTGACTTTGTTATTGTCTTGACAATAACGTACTAAGTACGAATTGAAATTAGTTTATAAAGATATTATTTTAACGACGCATTCGTTGGTTTTGAACGACGTGCGATAAAGAAATTAATTTGGTTGTCAATGTTCCTAATGTCATGGAAAATAATTACAGAATATAAATAAAACATCCATCCGTGTGAAAATTTATCTTGTTTTATTTTAATGTTCGTAAACCTAATATATACATTTTTATTTTATGTTTAAAGAATAAATTCTAACTACGTGTTATTTCTGCGTGTCATTAGGTTTTATGTGTTTCTTTAAGAACTCTTGGAACATAGCCACGTCCTCTGGTTTGTCGTCTGCAATTAAAGGATGTTTTTTATTTTTATCTATGGAAGGTAGGTTCATAGTTAAAAGGTTCCTTTTTATCAAAGGAAAGATTGCCGACCGCGCGGGTGACATTTCTCGGGAGACCGACGGAACTTGTATAAATGCAAACTTATCTTGAAAGTGTCGTTAGCGAGATTCAGGCATTTGTCAAATGTTTTGCGTTTTATGATGGCTATGGCCATAGAACATAAAACATTCAGAATCACAATACAGTCGCCTTCTTTATTTGGAAATTATTTCTCTTCATGGCGCACACATGTCCAAACATGTATTATATTTAAATACAACAAATTGACTTTTCAAGGAAGGTGGCGCATTTACGTTGTAGATGTCTATGAGCTCCAGTAACCACTTAACACCAGGTGGGTTGTGAGCTCGTCCACCCATGTAAGCAATAATTTTTTTTTTTAATTGTCTATCCAACGTGTCTCTGTGTGAATCTCGGCCATATAAGAAATATTTAGTAAAAATATAATAAATTTTAACTCGACGCGCGCATACACCCAGCTTAAGGAAGGTTTAATACAAACGATCTGTTTGAAAACTTTTCGTGAATAATATACTTAGTGATATTTGGTACTAGCGTCGTACCCGAGAGGCCACGTGACTGACATACAGTACAGTAATGTTAAGAAAAAAAATTACCGATTTCCGGTTCATTTTCAGTTCCTTCGTCGTCGCTGGAGCTCTCGTTGCCGGGGTGCTTCAGGTACATGTCGCTGAGCTCTCTGCCGATCGGCACTTCATCTATCAAACTCTTCTTGTCTATAACTGTCTCCACTGCGGAAATAATATAATTTAAAACAAAAAAAACAAAACAAATGATTGTGATAATTAAAATCACATTAGCGGTATAATGTCGCGCTTGTTATTCGACGCTTCGGTGTGTAGGGAACGGATGAAATGTTTTTTCTTTTTTTTAAATAAGAAAAACAAAGATTGTCTATGGATTATTTTGAGCTTTGCTTTTTTTTCTACCTAATCTGATGATCTAGAGAGACCATGTCAGCGTTACCGGGCTAGTAGGTGAGCTCACGGGGCTCAAACCTGACGACATTCCTAACACGAACACACGAGCAAGAGCAGTGCTTCGCAGAATCTACCACCGGATCGGAAACGCGACCCACTGAGAAGATCCGGCGAGAAGCTCAGTGGGCTGTGTCTGTGGGTTAGTTTACTCGCCGAGCCCTTCGTCGCAAGCCACAGGTTCGACGAGAACGATGACCAGTGCTTGGGGTTGAACTTTGCGATTTTCTAAATTATAAACACTATTATTTAAAAAAATTAAAAACAAGTCCCGTTAAATATTAAAACTAAAATAGATATTTCACTGTACCGCTGTCTGTCTTTTTTAATTCATCTTCTTTCTTTCGTTTCTCTTCTGCCAATTTTTCGGCGCGCATTTTCAACCAATCCGCTTTGTATTCTCTAAAATTAACAAGTCATTAAATATATGGCAACACTAAACAACACACAAATTATATATGGTCCTCTGTGATTAATAAATAAAGAGATTTTTTCCATACTAACCTTTCATATTCCTCTGCAGATTCATCAACTAGTTTGAAGAACTCATCTATGCCCTGTAAAATTTCATGATTTCAATTTCAAAATTTCATACTATAATTTTTTTCCTGCCTTTTCTCTGGTAGCCTAGGGGGCTCTTTCAGCTACGCCCGGACGGGTAAATGAGCTCACGGGTACAACCTGTGTGCTTAGTGAAATTTTTTAACGTTCTCGATCACGTAAAAGTTAACTCAGTTTTGTATGCAGTTGGAACAGCGCCCCTAGTGACAAACGTAGGCAAACGATCCCATTCCATACAAATATGAGCTAACTTTTACGCTATCGAGAAAGTTAAAAAACTCGCACTAAGCACACTGGGCGAATTTGCTAACACTAGCCTTAGCAAGAGCAATACTTTTCAGAAGCCACCACTGGATAGGAAGCGTGACCCATAAACGAGCTATAAACTAATCCAGTTAACTAAAACAACACCCAGACTTGAGAGAATTAAGCAAAACTTTAAAACACAGAAATCAAAGTTTCAATTGTAGCATATAACAGAATTCCACCCTTCTAACTGGATTAGATAGTGGACTACCCGTGCAAGATAATAATACCTAACTATTATGCAAAATTATATATTTTTTAGGTTAAGTTTTTATTGCACAATGGCATTTCTTCATCTTGGAAATAGAAAGTGATAATATGTTAAATACATTATTCTTTGCAAAATGTGGCATTTCCATCAGTAATGAAATGCGTCATTCGTATTCGCTTAACATTAGGTGGGTGACTGCCTCTGCCCAGAATGATACTATACTCTGAACATAAAATAAGTTTTTAATAAACTTACTTCACCGGTATGCGCACTCACACCACAGCACTTCAGATCTGAATAAAAACTGTCCAACGCCAGTGCCATGGACTGTGTCAAGTTTCCTATGTAAGTATTTCCTCCTTCCGTCTCTCCCCCACCATCTGCATTTAATGCTTCTTGGAAAGCTTCGAAATCTCTCATCCATTCCACTGCGTATGAATTGTTTACTACATCGATCTGAGACAAAAACAAGAGAATTGTAATGTTTTTTTTTTTAGATGAGTGGAGGAGCTTGCAGCCCGACTGGTGTTAAGTGGTTACTGGAGCCTATAGACATATACGACATAAATGCGATTAACACCAGATGGGCTGTGAGCTCGTCCACCCATCTAAGCAATAAATAAATAAATAAGACGCCGTCAGCCGACCACTAAGCTTCCAGAAAAAGTCAGTCCTTCAGTCGATATAGACAAGTGTAAATATTTTTTTTGTTTATTGTTTATTTTATGTTTTTAATAAAATTTTAATTTTTATATTAATTTTTAATTAATTTTAAATTAAATAAAGTGTTAAATTGTGTTTACTTCAATTACTTATCTTTACGTTCATTGTTGATTGTTAACACATCGTTAAACTTTACCTTAAACTGTGATAATTTTATTCCTTAAACTGTTAATTTAAAAAATCTCTGAAACTCACTTTATTCATGACAACAATAAACGGCAGCCGAGTCTTGTACAATATTGAGCAAGCATACAGCATGTTAGACATAAATGTGACGGGTGACACACTGCGTACTGTGTCCATTACATACACTACGACTGTGGGACAGGATGACGCCAGTGTTTCTGTCACTATTGTGCCTGATGCTGACCATGTGAATACTTCTATTTGACCTGTTGAATATTGAAGGAACAATATTTTTAAAAATACGTAAAAATATAAAATATTTTGAACCATCTTGTTACTAGTTACATAATACATAAAATAAATAATCGAACGAAATAGTATCACTATTATATCTAATAGTACTACGTTTTATCTAACGATACATTTAATAGTAAGTTTATATTAGAGATTTTATCTCATTTCATAATTGCAGGAAAACATCAACGTGACATGTTGGCTAAACTAACTGCATTCATAGAGAAATATATAAATAAATACCTGGCGTATCGATAACACAATACTTGTGTTTCTTTCCCGCTTTCTCTATCAAGTCTACGACTTGTCCAAATTTTGTTGAAAACAGATTCAGTGCTGTAACTATACCACCATTTGGTCCAAGACCATACTGCTTCATCACTTCTTTATAGTCTACAGTATCTCTTATATCTGCAAATGTTGATATGGACAAATTATGCTTAATTATACCTTTTAACCTTGTTATCTAAGAATTTTAGAAATTGCAGAATGAAATAAGATCATGAAATAAAAGAGTCACATTGTTTTATATTCTACAAATTAATCTTAATTTCAATTTAATTGTGATTAGCAATCTATATCTTTAAAAATCTTTATTTGAAATGTTTTTTTTAGCAATTAATATATTCCTGCTTTACTCAAAATTATTCAATTGTACTATAATTATTAATTAATAATTTAATACAGGCTTCAACTTGAACTGTTTGCATTTGTAGGTATACAACAAAGGGAAGATCTTCCACCGAGCGGGTGATATTGCTCGGTAGACCGACGGTCCGAATGTTGTTGTTCGGAACTTGTGTATATGCGCTTTATCTTGAAAATGTCGTAAGCGAGATTCAGGCGTCTGTCAATTATCTTGCGCTGTATAATGGCTACCCGCCACACATTCAATCTATGATTTTTTCTATAGGCCCTAGCACGAAGTCAGCCTCCCTAGTCTATCCGGTTAGAAAATAAATTCATTCTAGACTTTTAGGCTTGAAATGAATATCAGTATAGCAGTTCACAGAATCTTACCAATGTTGGCAGGATAAGGTACTTCCCTGCAAGCTGGATCCAAGTTCACTAGATAAGGTCGTGATCCATTAATAACTTTACTTGACAATCGACGTGTGAAGGAAGTCTTTCCAGCACCGGCCATACCTAAAAATTTCTATGAATATTATTCATTAAGTTCTACAAGGATCCATGTTTTCAAAACTTGAATTCGATCAATTAATACTTGTTCTTAATTTACGGTATGATTTTACATGTTTATGAACAAAAACTCTAACCTAAAATTATCAAACAAATGGGTTTGTTGGGCTCCGCGTTTGAACCTTCTGGTTTATTTGTATCGGAAGACATTTTTTCCCCAACGTATCTCTTTTTCTAGAACAGATGCAGATGAACAACAGTTATTTCCGTAAAACTACTTCAAAAATGACTACAAATTAAAAACTTCGTTTCAGTTTGATTCGTTTGTTTATTGTGGTTTATTGTTTGACACTGACAGTAATAGTCATAGATTATACACTTAATATAATAGTAGTAGTAGTTCAATTTTTCCAACTGGAAAGGCAAAGGTATCAATCATATCATACACCTTAACCTTTTATTTAAATTTTAATGAAAGCTGATAATATGAAGTGAAATGAAGTTGATCAATTTGGAACATTACTCAATTGGCATGTGTAGGGACACAGTTTGAGTAGCACATGCGGTTGTACATCGCTTGTTATAGTCAGTCATACGTAGCTCGCCCGACGCGTCAGACACTTGTTACAATATACGGAGTAAAATCTGAACTAGCTTGTTTTATTTATAAAGGACATTAATTAACAACTTTACACGCCTTATAAGCCGCATACAACATGAAATTAAATTAAATGAAATGATATGGGATGAAATATAATCTTAGTAAAATCATCATCTTCTTCAGCTTAGGCTCAGTAAAATGGTGGTTATTAATTGAGACTTTTTTAGTCAACTTTTTGGAGGATCTGGAGAAGCTACGTCCAGCGGCTTTGTTCATCTTCCCACATTTGTGCACTTTCACAGATACTAAGCAGGTAATAAGCCTCCGCTTAAACCTGAAGAACCACTAAATACTAATTAGTAAATAGACAAAATAAAACAATTCACACAGCTTCGCTGTTCGCGTTCCCGCCAAATAGTATTTATCTTTTGACTGTTGCTCTTTTCTTTTTTTAGTTTTTAAATAGCCTGAGCACTAGTTTAAGTAGTATAAAGCCATGTTTTAATAACATTTATTGTGTGACCATTGATACGTGAAATAGAGCGTAATCTAGAAAAAATTATAAACGACCGACTCATCATAATGGTTATGAAATTAAATTAAATGAGATGATATAAAATGTAGTAGGCAGTTACTGAGACTTCAACGAACTTTTTGGAAGAATGATACAAGCTACATCCATTTTATATCATTTACTCATATTTGTATTCTGTAATGAGTAAAATAAAACAAATAAATCATTAATGAACTATAGTGATTTCACCTTTATACCTAATGAAACACTAAATTAACAAAATACGATATTTCACAAAACTTTTTTATCACCTTAAGCCAAATTTTCAAACGAATATAAAATTTACTATAAAGAACTATAGTGAAAGAAGTATTTTCACGAATCACTATAGTGATTTCACCTTTATACCTAATGAAACACTAAATTAACAAAATACGATATTTCACAAAACTTTTTTATCACCTTAAGCCAAATTTTCAAACGAATATAAATTTTACTATAAAGAAGTATAGTGAAAGAAGTATTTTCACGAATCACTACTAACCTTAGTTAATAAATTTTAGTTTATTATTAATTTACAAAGATATAAATAAAACAAGCACTTTATTATCTGATACTTTAATTAATAAATTATTTACATTATGTACACAGGCAATCTCGAGCAAGTTGGTAGTACAATATTATTTTTAAAAAAAACAACAATTTAGTGCCCTGAGATATTAATTACTGCTTTCCTTTTCAAGATTCAAAAACATTATTGGATACAAATGTCCCAATTTCGCTATTCTTTTCTGTATTATAATCCTCAAAGTATCCGTATAGATGGCCGGTGGTTTGCAAGATGACGGATCGCGCCAGTGCAAGCCTGTAAAAATCAGAATTTACACTATACATAATTTATAAGTCGAATTGTGAGATAATAAATCAATATATGTATAAGATATTTTCGGGCGTAGGTCACAGGCTCTCAAAGTGTTTTGTTTTGAGTACCTCCAATTTAATCTTATTCATATATAAAATAAATAACCAACCTGTAGCATCACACGTAAATAAAGCAGGCGACGGGACGTGATCCCGTGTGTAGTTCCACAAACAGTCACGCAGTACTTGTACAATCTGCAACAAAAGTGTTTATGCATTTTTCTTTCATTCGGTATTCATACTTATTCCTACCAGGGACGTCTTAAACTATGATGGGGCCCTTGGGCACACAAGAATTTGAGGCCCTTTTGGAAAGTAAAAAAAGCGAATTATAATAACAGGTTTTTACTGAGTATGACCATTTATTATAGGTAATCAAATACAGTATGATATAATATGTTATTAATGATATTAGAATGCTGCTGGTTTTTTGATTACGATTTCGATAACGGTTTCTTTCGGGATGTCTGTTGAGCAAAATCTTCTATTATAGGCATAGTATATGTCTTATAAATACCTTCTGATTACTGATTTGTGAAAAAAGTGTAATGTGCCCGACAAAAATGTTTTGGGAATAAGCGTGTGAGAGAAATTGTCGATCTTTCGGGGCCCCCTAAGAATGGGGGCGCTGGGCACGGGCCCCGTGTGTCCTTATGGTAAAGACGGTATTGATTCCTACCATACCATTAGCTTTGTCTGCCCGTCTATTTAAACTCTTTATTACACTCATACAGTTGATGCTTTGATTTTGTGCAATTTATGATCGCAGCACTCGATCGAAATGCTTAGTGCGAGTTTTTTAACGTTCTCGATCGCGTAAAAGTTAACTCAAATTTGTATGGGTTTTAGAACAGCGTCCCTAGCGGCAAACGCAGGGACGCTATTCAATTCCATGCTATAGCACACTGTAACTAACACGTTGACGGTCGACACCTACCTCGTTCGGAGTAAGCTCAGGCGCTAATTCCAACATATGACTCAGCGGATGCGGTAACAGTTGCCCCAGGGTCATTGTAGACAACAGCTCTGTTAATGTAGCTCGCTCGCGTTCCACTTCAGGCGAATGCGTGTGGCGATCTGATAAATAAAATAAACGAAATAATAGGTTTTCACCAATGAAATTGCCGTTTTACAAGAACTGAGCATTTGTAACGTAATTTATGTATGGCTGATAACAAATTCTAAATTCAAATAAATTTAATTTAAAAAATATGGAGTTCTATTTTCGAATTCATTGGTTCGTTTGTTGATTAGTGTTTTGTTTCAATTACATTTGTATCTTCTTCATCAATATGGACAAGATAAAAATGCGTAATTAAATTGGCAGACTTCGTAGTGAAATAAAAAATTTTTAGACAATTTATTATTGAATTAGATTGCCTCGCTATTCAGAATATTTCACTAATACGTTATTTTTGCTTTGGAAAAATTAATGTGACGTGTAATCTACATAATCTATTTTTATTTTATTTGTAATGCCATCTATGCCAACGCTGCCCGCGAATGATTGACGCGAGGACGACACGTGTCAATACTTAACAGCCCCGCACGTTGATATTGCGATTGGGCGGCCATCTTGGTGACGTAGTCGAACTGTCAGTACCGTTCGCAACGTTGCCCAGCGCGTAGGTACGCGTATTAAAATAAATGAAACTAGTTATGATGATGATATGAGTGGAATTGAAGAATTCGTCTAGAATTATTAAATGCATAAACATTGATTAATTGTATTAATAAACTTTTGTTTTAAATACTTGATTTTTTTATTATTTTGTCTTTATTATTTTTAGTAGTTGTATTAAAATATATATCAAACAGACAAGACTTCTTTCACGTTTATAATATTAGTACTTATTATAAGCCATTCTTTTTTGCGGCGGATGACGTCACGCAGTTGTTATTGTGACATGGTTCCATCGCAATATCAACGTGCGGGGCTTATACTCGAAAATTCTTTGAACAAACGACGTCCGCTCGTTAAGGCGCAGCGGCGGTACCTAGCAGGGCGCGCAGGCGGTGCAGCAGCGTGGCGGCGGCGGCGCGCAGCAGCGCGGAGGCGAGGCACAGCGCGGGGCGGGCGCCGCCGCAGCGCCGCAGCGCCGCGCGGCACACGGGGCTGGCCTCCAGCGCCGCGCGCATGTACAGCTCGCGCTCGATGCTCACTTGCTGCACACAATAACTCGCTCCATCAACTTACTCGCTCACGGTACTATATACACCTTTTGGTAGGCAGCGGTTTAGCTGAGCTTCTGGCAGTGCTGATATCCACTAGTAACAATGTCTACTAACCATAAGGTGAGGCAAAAAGAAAAACCGTTCGACTTAGTTTTAGGTTCAATTACAACAATATCTGTTCGGTGATTATAATATAGTATTACGGGTTTGCGGCCCTGAGTTCACGCGACGTTGTCAAAATAAGCATTAATTTTTTTTATGATTTCTCCGTTTAGTAAAGTACAGATTGCAAAACAATAATTTTAAGATTTTAATTATCACAACTAATCACGGCTTTGACCGTGAAATAAAATTAAAAAAATTTCATTTGTGACTATAAAGCTTTATATTTATCATCCGTGCTGACAACAACATCGCAACAACTAATTTCAAATTAAGAGTAGTTCGGTTAAGAGTAGTCGCGCACCTTGGTAAAGTCCTCGTCGGGCCACGGCAGGCCGTTGTACATGACGTCGGGAGACACCAGCTCCACCAGCAACAGCGCCACGGAGGTCGCGCCTTCCACCACACCGCTGTTCCCGTCCTGCGACCACACATACGGAGTGCTTTTTTTTAGGGATTTTATGACCTGGTAACTAAAACTGGTCTGGTCTTATTTTAATTTATATTCCTATTTTATAAAAAATGATAATATGGAGTGAAATGAAATGAAAATGATTAATTTGAGAAATTAATCAACTGGGATGAAATTAAATGAAATGAGGTGAGATGGTATGTAATCTCAGTAAAATTGTGGTCATTTAGTGAGATTTTTTCAGTAAACTTTTTGGAGGATCCCGAAAAGTTACGTGCAGCTGCTTTGTTTCCTTTTGCCACTTTTTGCACTTTCACAGATATTAAACAGTTAATAAACCACCGTTATAACACATTTAAACCTGAAGAAACGCTAAATAGACAAAATAAAAAAAATCACACAACTTCACTCGTCGTGTTCTCGCCAAAAAGTCACACGTAGTGCGGCTAGAGCACATACACAGAGTAGTGTGTGCTACCAACACAATATTACATTGCAAAGAACAAAAAAGGGCCATTAGAGCCCTTGAGTGATCTCATTGTTAAACTTTTTTTCCTACCTATGACGATAGCCTCGAGAGGTTATGTCAGCGATGCCAGGCGAGTAGGTGAGCTCACGGGGCTCAAACCTGACGAAGTTGCTAACACTGGCCCTAGCAAGAGCAGTGCTTCGCAGAATCTACCACCGAATCCGAAACGCGACTAACTAAGAAGACCCGAAGAGAAACTCAGTAGGCTGTGCCTATGGGTTAGTTTATTCTCCGAACCCTTCGTCGCAAGCGACGGGTTTAACGTTAAGCGATCTTATGTCATTAAAATCGATAAAAAGCTACTTGCTAAAAATCGATTTTAACGAACAATTAAATTTCTTTTAAGGATAAGTACAAACCAAAGGATTACAATGTGCGATTACAACTATTTATCAACGTTTCGGCTTTAATATTGGGTAATATTAAAATTGCATTTCTGTCGACATCTATATATCGAGGGGTTAAAGGCTATTTGGTTTAAGCGACATTTCGTTAAACACCCGACGTTTATCTTTGTATTTAAAGGTCCGTTTCATTTGGTGTTCGCATTATCAATTCGATGCTTTTAATTGTTTTGTCATGATATTTTTTCCAAATTTTAAACTTTAAAGGGCTGAAAGTTTGCAAAAATGTTGCTTAAACTAAATAGCTTTTCACCCCTCAATATGTATATAAAAATTTCGTGTTATGTTGTTTGTCCGCGATGAACTCCTCAATTAATGAACCGATATTAATGTAACTTCGCACACTGTAACTAGTTTGGTCCAACATAAGAAAAAGGACAGTTATTATTTCAAATTATAATCGCAATTTTTTTATTACAATTTTTTATTTCGTATGTGACGTAGGATTGTCATTATGCGATCTCTATGAGTTAGCTCACCGACGTTTTGCTTTAGTTTCCGGATAATTACCTAATAGATAGCGCTGTATCGAGGGTCTAAATAAAATTAAAATAATAATTATTGTCTTTCAGCCCATACCGAACATAATCAGTGTAGCAGTTTATGCAGACCGTACTGACCATACAAGCCATCAGCGCGCCCATTAGCAGCTCGTTGTTGGTGGTGAGTATCGGCGGCAGTGCGTTCTCGTCGTGGGAACTCTTCTTCCTAACTCCTTTACCGATGATGCCCGCGTGGAACACTGACGTGTGGCTCTGCGTCAGTTGCGTGATCGGGCCCTACAATAAAGAACCCTCAATTCAATGCTCTTTTTTGATATTGTAACCAACCGGCCTAATAGCGAGTGCTCATTGTCGCTCATAGACATCATCAACTCAGAACACTCCATTCTTGGTGTTTACTTGTATAAAAATAACGATGATTATAATAATAGAGAAATAAGGCTCACGTGTTTTTGGTTCAAGTGTATGAGGAGGTCGTCGGCGTCGGGTGCGCGGGGCTCGGCGCGGGTCCCGAAGGCGCGCTCCTCGCGGAACATGGCGGCCTCGAGCAGGTCGCGCAGGCCGACGGCGCGGGCCAGCTTGCTGTGGCCGCACAGCTTGCGGAGCAGTCGGCACGCGGTCTGTGTGCCCCGGACTTTGTTCATTACGTCTGTCGAAAACGATATTTCTCTAATTAATTTCCTCATAAGAGATGCTACGACCAGTAATGAATTCTTGAAAGGATTTTGTACTAGCTCACGGATATTGAATTTATTAAACCATTTTTAAATGAATAGTCGTGAATTCGTAGACGTCATCAATGTTGTAAGCCATTGCTACCGCAAACTCGTATTACCTAATTGCTCATATTTTTATCGTATCTATATTGATGAAATCTATACGGATGTATTGAAACCAAAACATTAATCAATAAACAAACGAATGAATTTGAAAATAGAATTTCATATTTTTTTATAATTGATTTGAATTTAGAATTTGTTTCCAGCCATACATAAATAACGTTTTTTAAGAGATTTTATGACCTGGTAACTGAGACCTTTAAGTCATGTCTTATTTTAATCTATATTCTTAATTTTATGAAAAATGATATTATGGAGTGAAATGAAATGAAAATGATTAATTTGAGACATTAATCAACTAGGATGAAATTAAATGAGATGATATGAGATGAAATCTAATCTCAGTAAAATGGTGGTCATTTACTAAGATTTTTCAGTGGACTTTTTGGAGGATCCCGAGAAGTTACGTCCAGCGGCTTTGTTTCATTTTCCCACATTTGTGCACTTTCACAGATATTAAACTGTTAATAAACCACCATTATTACACATTTAAACCCGAAGAAACACTAAATAGACAAAATAAAACAAATCACACAACTTCACTCCTCGCGTTCCCGCCAAAAAGTCATAAATAACGTTACAAATGGCCAGTTATAGGTTATAGTAAAACGACAACTTCATTGATGAAGACCTATTATTTCCCAAAAACAGAGAACGAAACAGATTGTCATACATCTATATATTATTACGTGAAGCAAAAACTTTGTACCCCTTTTTACAAAAATTGCACGGACGGAGGAGTATGAAATTTCCCACACTTATAGAGAATATAGAGAAGGAGTGCAGAATGTTAATATTTTTTTAAGTTACGCATAAAATACATTAAAGCAATAAAAAAACACACACACACGCATACATACTTTTTTTATTGTCAAACTTTTCTTATTGCTTATAGATAGTCTGTGGTCAAATTGATAATATTTGTCTTTATTAATATTTATCTAAAGTGTAGTCTTAGCGAAATCTGTGATTGTAGAAGTATAATAGTCTTTGATAATAGAATCATAATAGTGTACAAACTTATAATTTCAATTAATTAGTCAGATTCCGACTACCGGGGGACCATTAGTAAGTGGTTATTGTGCATCCTAATGTGACATTAGGACATTAGTAACGTCCCCTTTTAAATATCTGACTGGTTCAAAAGAGATAGCCGCATGGTCACTATCGCGTTACCTGGCTCGTGGATGCACCTGAAGAAATATTTGACGGTCGCTTGTACGACTTTGAGCACACTCTCGACGCTCGGCGGCGGGCCCTTCGTGCCGGACATGTCCACTCTGTCTAGTACCTGCACCGGAACATCGTCACCTCAGTGTGCTTAGTGAGAGTTTTGTAACGTTCTCGATAGCGTAAAAGTTAACTCAAATTTGTATGGAGTTGGAACAGCGTCCCTGGCGGCTAATGAAGGGAAGCTGAATTTTTATTTAGGCAACACTTGAAGACAGAACCTTCACTTGGACAAACTTTCATTAGTTTCTTCCATTACTTTCATTAGATCCTCTCGATCCATTAACTGTGCTTTTAGGTACCTTAAGCAACAGTCACCGTTCTTGCTTGCGATGAAGAGATTCTGGTAGATTCAGCGTAGCACTGTTCTTGCTAGGGCTAGTGTTAGCAACGTCACCAGAGCCCGGTGAGCTCACCTTCTCACTCGGTTACGCTGACATAGCCCTTACCTTGACTTGTATATGTCTTTGAAAGGGAAATTTTTAAGTATTTTTTTTATCAATTTCGAGTCGATGGATTGAGTTGTAAATCAGCCCAAGTTTTTATTATTTTTTTATTGCTTAGATGAGTGGACGAGTTCATAGTCCACCTGGTATTAAGTGGTTACTGGAGCCCATAGACATCTACAACGTAAATGCGCCACCCACCTTGAGATATAACTTCTAAAGTCTCAAGTATAGTTACAACGGCTGCCCCACTCTTCAAACCGAAACGCATTACTGCTTCACGGCAGAAAATGCTTGTATATGTCTTTACCAAGAAAACTTACAGGGTATTTTTTATCAATTTCAAATCGATGGATTAAGTTGTAAATTGTCTCACGTGCGTACCTCGGCGAGAACGTGGCACGTGGGCATCTCGTTGAGCGACCTCATGGTGCAGTGGTGCAGCTGCGGGTCGCGCAGCAGCGCCGCGTAGTGCTGCAGCGCCGCGCCCAGCCGGTACAGGCTCGCCTGCACCGCGCGCCCCACCGCCCGCCCGCGCAGCTGCGACACGCGCTTCGAGCTCTCCCATCTGCAACCACCGCACAACGTCAACGTGAAGTGACTTTACTAATGTAGAGGAAATTATGTGAGTTTACTATTGTGGGGGAACATTAAGTGAGTTTACTATTGTGGGGGAAATAATGTTAGTTTACTAATGTAGGGGAAATAATGTTAGTTTATTAATGTAGGGGAAATAATGTTAGTTTATTAATGTAGGGGAAATAAAGTGAGTTTAATTCTTTAGAAGAAACATCTTATCCGAGAACAACCTAAGAAGGGAAAGAAAACAGCAAAATGTACACGATACAATACCAACACTCACCTCAACAGCTTAATGATGTTCAGACAAAAATAATGCATGTACGTCTTTTGATCCTTAGGAACGTTTCCCTCGATGAAGCACCTCTTTATCTGCGTGTCGGACATGGCGGCGTCCCTGAGAGCGTGCTCCACGCCCGTCCTGATGAAATCCTGGTACCGCTCGGTGTCGGTGCTGAGGTCGGGGGTGTCGTTGGGCGCGTGCATGGAGGCGGTGCCGGACATGATGCGCACCAGCAGCGCCAGGGTCGCGTCGTCGCGGCTGTACTGCAGCAGGTAGCTTATGGTCGATACGAACTCCGAGGGCTGGTTGTAGCCTGAAAGTAGTATACGTTTACTGGTGCCGCCACCCCGCCTATTTATTGTTGTTAATGTCTATGGGCTATGGAAATCAGTAAAAAATGAGCGGGTCGTAAGCTCGTCCACCCATCTAAACAATAAATAAAAAAATGTGTGGTGTCGTGAGACACCGGATAGGAACGAAGTTCCTTATTATAAAAATATTAATTTTAAGTTCTAATTCGAGGTATAAAGAAAATAAAACTGGAGGTTTCGCAACAACCCACGGTCATTCGGTAACGTGCGAACTTATTGTGGTACACTTCATTCACGGTTATAACGGCATAAGAGTTAGTGTATTGCGCAAACGAACGCTCTGAGATCGTGGTCAATGAATGATAAAAAAACATGTTATTTTTTTGAACGTTATTGCAAAGTTAAGTCGTACACTGTGTGCATTACTAATAAAAATCTTACGTTACGGACGTTTTTTCCGGGTTAGGGTACCCCTCCGCATCGTCCCATAAGGAACTTCGTTCCAAAAATTTTGTCAAATAATAGTTATCTATAATCTGGTCCCCGTTCTGCGGGAATTCCCCGGCCCAAGAGCTAATGCTTACTCTATCATATATTTACTTAATTAATATGAGCAATATTAGCAGTACTCATCCTATTACAGTTATCTTGTAGGGCGGACTCTGGACTATGGTAGGCACTTACAAATCAGGATGAGCAGTCGCGCGAGTGAATACTTCTCCAGCTGATTCCCATCCAGCAGCTTCTCCCGGATCATGTGTATCTCCTCAGCGGCGCTCGTCAACAGCGGTATAGTTTTGTCCGGGAATAGACATTCGTATTCTAGCTTCTGTAGGAGGTGCTCTGAAATAATTATACATAGCTATAGTATTTTCTTCGGTATTCGCAATTCGCACAGATAATCTATACATATAAAAATGAATTGCCGTTCATTAGTTCCGCTAAAACTCGAGAACGGCTAGACCGATTTGGCTAATTTTGATCTTAAATTATTTGTGGAAGTCCAGAGGTTTAAAAGGTAGATAAATATGAAAACGCTCGGAAATAAATAAAAATAACAATTTTGTTTTTCCTTTGATGTGTCCCACCCTCGGACGGATTCCTTACGTTTGTTTTGAATTTATTTCATACAAAAGCTTAGGTCTTTTTAATTTATCGATTGAGGCACTAAGAAGTCTGCCGGGTCAGCTAGTATAGCTATAGTATATTATTCGGTATTCGCAACTCGCACACATAAACATATATGATAATAAACATATATTATACCTTTATATATTAAACATATACATAACATATATATATAAACATATAATTTAATAAACATATATTAAAACTATTTTTTATTATGATTACTATTGGAGTTATTATTTCCAACCTTTCGAATACTATACTCTATTAAACTAATAATACACTACCGTTTCCGTAATCACGAACAACTCGATCAGTCGTCGTAAAAACAAAACGAGAAATAAAAACGTAAAAAAAGTTCCGACAGCTTTAGAAACATATAAAATTTTACATTGTGTGCTGAGTTACGGCATAAAATCATACGAATTTCTTACTTCTTTATTTACATAATAGACAAAACGAAAAACCGACATTAAGTAGGAAATAGGTAATAATGTTTTATTTTATTGATCAAAACTGAATATCTATTTAAAGACGTTTAATGTTTAGAAAATATAATAATGTTTGGAAAATTAATCGAACTGTCATCGACTATCACATCATAAAGTGTATAGGAGGGTTCGACCTCACGGGGATTGTTAGTCAGTAACTCGTGAGAGACCAGCGTGCTTAGTGCGAGATTTTTAACTTTTACGTAAGACCAGTGTGCTTAGTGCGAGTTTTTTAACGTTCTCGATAGCATAAAAGTTAAGTCAAATTTGTATGGAGTTTGAATGTTTGCCTACGTTTGCCGTTAGGAGCGCTGTTCCTGCGGGATTCGAACATTGGCACAGTCGATTCGCCCGATATGAGTAGACCGGGCGTCTTATCCTTTAGGCCACGACGACTATATGAACAACGGCGGATCCAAGGGGGTCATGGGAGTCATGACCCCCGGAGCTGGTTCCAGGACTTCGGTGGACTACTAATTGAACATAATGATTTTATTTATATGTTTTGTCACCATACAGATTTTATGTAACTACATACCTTCAATATTTGCGTTACCCCTCGACACACCTCTAGCTGTTATGACAAATCATTCACAACGGTTATGGAATATAAATAGGCTGCCTCATTCCGTGCGTGATAGTGCTTATTTGGATGTCTTCAAGAGAAGATGGCAATATGTACGTGTATATGTACAAGTTATTATGTGTTAAGTTTTTCAAGTGTACAATAAAGAATAAATATTTTTAAGTACAGTACTTACGTACATTAATAAAATACCTACTTTTTACTTGTATCTATTGTTATCAAAATTAAATTATAAGTTCTTGACTTGACCACGACATGTGCCCCCCCCCCCCCTGGCGCCATAGCTAGATCCGCCCTTGTTATGAACATGTAGCTTATGCTTATAAAGCCTCACCAAGCAACTGCCTGCAGAACTGGTAGTTCCGAGCGTGTCTGAGGAGCAGCAGCAGACACCTGGCGTCCGTCCGCATCAACAGCTGCACCAGCGACGCCGGCGCCGCGCCCTCCCACCGCGCCCCGCCCCCGCACACCGCGCCCAGACGACGCACCACCTCATCCGACACTCAACCGACACAACATCTTACATACACTTCTACTTCTACTTTAGGCTACTTTATTTTACTGGTGGTAGGACCTCTTGTGAGTCCTCGCGAGAAGGTACCACCGCCCTGCCTTTTTCTGCCGTGAAGCAGTAATGCGTTTCGGTCTGAAGGGTGGGGCAGCCGTAATAACTATACTTGAGACCTTAGAACTGATATCTCAAGGTGGGTGGCGCATTTACGTCGTAGATGTCTATGGGCTCCAGTAACCATTTAACACCAGGTGGGCTGTGAGCTCGTCCACCCGTCTAAGCATTTAAAAAAAACTTTATTTTTAAATAACTGTAAAGTCATAGATCAAATATCTATAATGACTCTTTTTACGTCTTATATTTACTGGTGGTAGGAGGTCTTGTGAGCCCGCACGGTAGGTACCACCTACCCTATACCAAAATAGGCATAATGGATAATAGCTATTATGCCTATTTTTGTTGTGAAGCAGTAACACGTTTCGATTTAAAAGGCGGGGCCGCCGTTGTACTGTAAAAACTGCGACTTAGGACTCATGTATCAAAGTGGGTGGCAGCATCTACGTTGTTGTCTATGGATTCTGGTAACCACTTAACACCAGATGGGCCTTAAGCTCGTCCATCCAGTGAAGCAATAAAAATTGTTTTAATCACGTATTTCCTTATTAAATATGAATTAGCAGTACTCACGCGTTTGTTCTATATCTTGCGTGAAGGCTTTCAGGACTACATCGGACTTCGAAGCTAAATTCAGTAGATACGGTATGACGTCACGCTTACTCTCCGGCATACTGTCCTCCCTTATCACTTCCTACAAAAGGTATTCACCATACCTTATACACTCAGGTTAAACTTGAGGACAAGATGGTTCAGTGCTTTTGTCACAGGCGCATTCGGCTCACCTGATGGTGAATGGGTACGACCACTCGTGGACGTCAGCAATGCCAGAGGTACAGTCAAGCATTCCATTGCTGAGCAACTTTCAAAAAGCCCCTTTGAAGAGGTACGAGCGATAGCGCTCACGAGGACCGTAGAGAGGTGTCTATAGATGTCAAAATCGGATAGTGCGTAGCAAAAAAGATCTCAGAGCACTATTTATCATCCAACTTCCTTTAAAAACAAATAAGTAACCGTTTTTTCCAATACTACAACAAAATTGTAATAAACAAAACGTAAAACTATTATAGAATCTAATGTTTTTTTTCTTGCTGATAGCCTTGAGAGGCTATGTCAGAGTAATCCTAACGTGTAGCATAACACTAGCCCTAGCAAGAGCAGTGCTTCGCAGAATCTACCACCGGCTCGGAAAGGCGACCCACTGAGAATCTCAGTGGGCTGTGTCTATGGGTTAGTTTATTCGCCGAACCCTTGCGACGGATTCGACGAGAACGGTGACCGGTGGTTGAGTTACCTAAAAGCACCGTTAGTGGATCGGGAGGATCCAAAATGACATGTAATCTAATTTATAAATGAATATAAATCTTATATCGTTACTATTGTTTAATTTCAACCACCGGCCACTCACTACTAGATTTTGGAACCTCAATACTCTAGCACGTAATACCGCATTCCTACTTGCTTTAGATTAGGAGGGCTTTTATGACTACACTTACGTGAAATAAAGTTTGTAGTGCTCGTTTTAGGTGCGCGAGTGCGGGTGCGTGGTGCGCCAGCTGGGCTAGCAACGCACGCGCCGCGTCTGCGCCCAGAGCCAGCGCCCGCGGAGCCACTAGAGCCACCAGCCCGGCCTCCGCCCTCACCACGCGACCCACAGCCCAGCCGCACCAACGAGATTCTATACACACAGCATAACATGACGCTATTGTCTTTATTATTCTTTATTGTACACACAGTTAATACAACACAATCATTGCGAAAATGGCGAGCTTAACTCAACAATTGAGTTATCTACCAGCTAACCGTACTTAAAGAAGGTGAGCTTTACTTTTAGGTATTTGAAGATCTTGATAATATTTGACTCTGACATCTTTGTAATGTTAACACTATTCAGGCTCCTCAATTGATTGCGCTTTTCTTAAGCATCTACTACAGGAGGTACTAATTCAATTTTTTGAGAATTATGTAGATTTTTTTTTGTCTATTGGATCTCAAACATGCTTAATTTATTTCATTGACAGATTATCATTATAATAAAATAAATATTGAGAGCACCTCTTAACACATTGAATTCCAGACTAGAAACTATGTCTAAGCGAGTCTTATCTATAGAGAGAGAATCTTGTCTATAGCAATGTCAGCGAACACCCAGCAAGGATAGACGGTTTACACTGACAATTGACCACGGACACTGATATCTGACATACATAATCTCGGAAGTGGTCTAATCCACTGTTTCCATAAGTCACAGTGTTTTTAAGGTTTTTCTTGACAATATTTGCAAAAAACACTTTTTAAACAATTGCTGTTAAATTCGTGAAGCCCTTCAGGAATGCAGGCTACCATATACATGATGTCTATAATAATGTTGAATGTGTTAGTTAACCAAGGAATATTTCTTCCAAATTCTAATTGTTTAGGTTAATTTTTTATATGTGCATTGATAAGTCAGTATAGTACTGCTGAGTAAGTACATGAAACTAGTTAACAATTCTCACCAAGCATCATATCAATGCATGTAGCTTTTTCCTCTGGACCTAATAAAGTTAAATTTTGTGTTGTTATATCCAACAGCACCCTGACAGGTTCGGCACTCTGGAGGGTGGAGTCTGAAATGAACAAATTTGTGCCATTCCTTATTAGTCCATTAATAAACGCCTGACTAGAAACAGAGGTCTAATTTTTATAAATTGACTTATCCAAAATGATGAAACAAAATAATATTGTAGCATAAAATAATATTTATCAGATATTATTTTTATTTTAATTGTGATCTAAGTACTTACTTGGCACATTGGACTTGTTAGTGGAAATGTCAATTATCAAATTGACACACCATGGTGCTATGAAAGGTGCCCATGACTCTCCGAGATTGCATAGCTCAGGTCCGATCATACTGACACTCTCCAAAAGACTATTTGCATTTGGATCAGCCTAAAAAATACATCATTATGCCCAAACAGTCAACATAAAACATTACAAGGCTTAGTATTTGCTTCAGTTTTCACAATCATAAACATAATTAAAATTACTTTTAGTTTTTTTAGGTTATCAGTGTTTGTAATAGTGTAACAAATAAACAAAGTGAGATTAAACTATAAATATGTTTTAATTATTACAAGACTTTCTTTTAGAGACGGTATAGACTGTAAATCAATAACAATGACACTATACTGCTATTAGATTACATTTTTATTGTTAAGCATACATACATACATGCAATAAATACAAATTTAAGTGTTTTCTTGATTTACAAATAATAGTTCTAGTTAATTAGTAATAGAAAGCAATCTTCCAAACCACAGTGATATGCATGTATGTATTTATATTATTATGTGCATTCTGGCCACCACATGTCCACTTTGTTTCTACAATAAAGCAACATCGAGCAGTAAAATCAAAGCTCAAAATTTTATATGCTGCACTTATTTCTGATCAATATTATGAGCATGCATGAATCAGGCCACTGTACAGCCTGTTTATATGAAAAAGCAGTTCTGTGCTTATGCAAAGCACTGGTGTTTCATAAGTTACATAGCATTACTCCAATACAATTGAGTTTGAAATCATGTCTCAGAGCACCTATAGGCATTCACGTCGTTTTGTTTATTGGCTTCGACCTGTTAATAAGAATTTGGACAATGAGCTTAATGCCCGTCAAATGACTTTTTACTTAACAATAGAATTTAAAAGAAAATATATAATAAGCAGATGATAGTTTATCCAGTGCTCTAATTAAACGAAGCTCTCTTAGTTTAAGTCATGTATGTTAGTCTTAACCTTAACCATGTTTCACCTAAGTATTGCTGAAAATGTAACCTTAAATGGTCCTTAACAACTCACTTCATAGTCAGTTTGACTGATGGCAACGTTAACGGCTTCTTGAAACACAATCGAGAAAAACTCTAACACAGCGTCCCTTGCCGCCGGAAAGGTTTTTAACAAACTTATACCAGTTTTAGTAAGCTCCGGGGTACTTTGAGTGTTTCGTCTTGAAACACCGTATACAAAATTATTTAAATCTGCAGATAGTGCAGTGGACTTGCTGGAGGTGTTCATTATCTCCGATATAATTCCGTTTATAATATCATCAAAATAAAATACTAGACAACAAATTCAAAAAGTGATTAAAGCAATGAAGTAGGAAACCTATGGAAATGAAACGTCAACCAAAATTTCGTGCCACTGTGACGTCATCTGGCCACAAAACATGGCGGCTTTAGTGCTGTACAAAGGATTTCAATGTTATCAGGTTTTATCGATAAACGTTCTTGGCTCATTTTATTTTAAATATTGTTGAGTATTATTTATTTGTAGAATTTATACTTTAATGGGAAGTAAGTAGGTATATTGTTATGTGCAAATATGATATGATTTAGATGGGTGAAATCTAAGACAAGTTCGTCCTTCGAATTTGCCAAGTAAACGATATGATGATTTTTAAAAGTTGCTACACTGATTTTATAAAGTTGTCGTTTGTCGCAAAACATAAAGATATGGCGTAGTTCAAAGCCATCAGCCCATTTCTAGCATGCTAAATGTTATCGTATTTTGAGTACGTGTTTTTCTTAGACTATTACAATCTATTTTAATTGTTTTGCTGACTCTAAAGTCCGTAACATACTACCGCAGCGCACCCCAAGGAAGGTGCGCCGCACCATTTGAATCACTTTCGCTTGAGAGTGATTCAAATTTTAAACTTATCAAGGGACCGCGTGAAAAAAAAAACACCTACAGAACATTTATTCATTAATTACAAACGTCATTCCTTGTGACTTCCTCTCTAAAATCACTTAATTATTAAATATTTAACAAATTTACAATAGTGTTTTACTCACTGCGGAATAAAACTATTTTATTTAAATAGTTCCGAAGAGATTTTGTCGGTAGCCTTTTTCCCGAAATATCTAAACAGAATGTCTAAATATGTTTTGATGACATATTTTAAAGTGGTATTTATGATTAGTGTCATGATCAATAGATTCCGACCGAAAAATGGATTTTTCGGATGAGGGCTCCATAATGAATTTAAATACATATAGATAATAGTTTTAGGACATCGACTTTCTTGAGATCCTATAAAATACGTTTTAATTATTATTTTTCTATGTTTTAAGCATGATAAATTATGAAATTTTATATAATCAATCATATTAAATCGATATCATAGTCAATAAATAATGTACAACCCAAAACAGACGGCCGAACTGACGTGACAATGACATTTGGCGCGCTAAACATGGCGGATTTTCGGCCTCATTAGACGGAGACGGAGATATTAACGTATATTCATGTTTCATTTTATGTACGCACTGAAATACTGTTATATTGTTTTCCTGCGAGTTAAAGTGCTGAGTAAGAACGAGATAGATATATGTTTATGTATGTGCCTTCAAAATGGGTGCTATTTATATAAGCAATTGTACGTATAGAACAATATGTCGTGTCCCTACTATATAGGTCTATGGATTAAAGTGACTTGTTGACAAAATCTACGTTTGACATTTGGTACAATGACACTTGAGTTTTTAATTTGACTTCTTGAACAAGCAAAGGAAATAGCCCATACGCTGAATTTTTATTATAATAATAATGGTATTGAAACCAGGTCTTGTACGAAAGATCAAATGGCACGTAAATATCAATGTATCTAAATAAGTACATGTATATATAACATGTTACCATAAAATTTGACTGAAAAGCATAGTGGAATAAACATTATAAAGATAATGTGACAATATTAAGTGTAAAGATAAGGTGGTAATGGAACCTTTAGAAGTGTTATACCTATTTCATTCTCTCACAGATTAAATCCTTTTGTATTTTATCGCATATACTTATCTCTTTTTAGTATCGCTTTTCCAGTGTCATTTCCGTTTCATCAAATTTCATTTCGCAACGGGTTAAAAAAGATTTCACTGTAATAATAGTAAAAGGAAAAAAAAAACTTTTTAAAAACAGAAAAATAGCCCCAGGAATTATTTTTGGTATCTGCCTAAGTATAATTTTAGTTGTATAACTATGTGTCTTGTGAGTATGCTTTTCTGATCATAACTATATTTCGTGTTAGCGAAGAAAAACAAATGATAAAGTTCAGGCTCGCACTTATTCGCCTTTCTTACTTTTTTTTATTGCGTAGGTGGGTGGACGAGGTCACAGCCTACCTGGTGTTAAGTAGTTACCGGAGCTCATAGACATCTACAACGTAAGTGCCACCACCCACCTTGAGATATGAGTTCTAAGGTCTCAAGTATAATTACAAAGGCTGCCCCACCCTTTAAACCGAAACGCATTACTGCTTCACGACAGAAATAGGCAGGGTGGTGGTACCTACCCGTGCGGACTCACAAATTATAATTTTGCAGGTTTGATTTTTATTACGCGATGTTATTCCTTCACCGTGGAAGTCAATCGTGAACATTTGTTAAGTACATATTTCATTAGAAAAATTGTTTTTTTTTATGATTGAAGGATTACTGGTGGCTCTCAGGCCTTTTCAGCTTAACCAGGACAGGAGAAAAATTGGTACCGGCATGCGGGATTCGAACACCGTAGCATCGCTCGACACGAATGCACCGGACGTCTTATCCTAATTAATTTACGAAATTACTTTCGCATATACCAAAACTACTTTCGTGAAACTGAGTTCAACATGCATGACACTAATTTCGTAATGTAAATTCCGCATTAGGCCACGACGACTCCATTAAGTCTAAACTAAATTTAAATATAATATATATGAATATATTATTATATATGTATTATAAAATATAATATCATATTTTCTAATAATATCTAGGTTCTATATGTTCAAATATAAAAGTTAATAAAACTTTTTAAGTGCAGAACAAAAAAATTAATATAAACTATATAAAATCTCGAAGTATTATGTTCTTGATAAATTCCAGAAAATAAAAACCCATAGAGGAAAATCACCACCTCAGATGTACTACGAAACATAAGTCTTCATAATTCATTCATACTTCATACAACATAAAATTGAAGAGCTGCAATATTTGTGACGTCCGATAAATTTACAGATCAGATTAAAAATGTAAAAGCGAATGCTTGTAAAAAGTATGAATTAGAAAAAAAAAATACAGTTTTACGCTTTTATTATTTCGCCACTAATATTGCTCTGATGATAGAATTGTCGGAATCACGATCGCAACTGTGCAGAGCATGCGTCGATCGCGTGCGCAGATTTTATTGATTTCCTCACTGCGACCCTCGCGCGCGCCCTTCCCTAAATTACTTGTACGTATGTACCTAAATGAATACAATAGAGTCTGAGTATTTATGACTGACTATTTATGACGTTTAATTTAGATTTTTTACAATCTGAAATGTGTCTCATTAATCGTGTGTTTGTGAGATGTATGTTATTTGATATATTGCATAATTTATGTTTAAGAATAAATATTTTTTTAATTTAAGAATATATATTTTTTTTTATTTGAGTGCTAGAGATGGGACACTGGAATCCATTAAACAAACTAACGAGTCGAAATCTCTTTCATATAAAACCGCTCTATCTTTTAAACGTTTTCCATATAATAATACTTTAGTAGAATAAATGGGCAGGGTGACGAAACCAACTTAATCTCACGCTGTTCTAGTTACACTTAAGATACGAATTATTTAGAGCGTTAGATAAAAAGTACTGTAAATTAAATAAATGAATGTTTGAAGACAATATAAGCCTGTGATATTCATACTATGATAATAAATATACAAATCATGACATTTGACCTCGTTTCAATATTCGTCTAAGTTTGCATCTTTAGTACGTATCTCTAATATTCATAATTGTACTTTTTCACCTATACTGCTAAACATTTTCGTAAAATTTGGTGGTAAGTACTTTTGTAAATATAAACACAAATGAAGTTTGTAATCACATCTCTACGAAAAATTAAATTAATAATGGTAGTCAAGATTTTCTTTATTTTTCTTAAATTATGCGACTTACGAGCAAACGCCAGTTCTCCCTTTTTGTGGTGAGCCTGGTACACTCATATTAATAACACCAAATCAACACGATAGTCAAATAATCGAGGATTATTTCTCAAATTGCTGTATCGCTTGGTCTGATGAACTTGGATATTATGCGGAGAATACTCATTTCACTAGTACAAACTAGAGTGCCAAAGCGTATTTTTACTATACTACAACATTTGAGCAGCGCGTTTCGTGTTTTTATGCTCTCCATTCAAAGTAAACGTTGGTGCACTTATCTATACTAATATTATAAAGCTGAAGAGTTTGTTTGTTTTTTGAACGCGCTAATCTCAGGAACTACTGGTCCGATTTGAAAAATTCTTTCAGTGTTAGATAGCCCATTTATTGAAGAAGGCTATAGGCTATAGGCGATATAACATCACGGTAAGACCAATACAAGTGGAGCACCAATAAATAATGTTTCAAAATATTTTCACTTTCTACGTAAATGAAGTGGGGGATAAAATTTAGCGTTATGCCAGAGTAACTATTCCACGCGGACGGAGTCGCGGGCAAAAGCTAGTAGATTATATTATATCGATGATGCACATCAGTCGGGCGAAAAATCGATATCGTCTGTACACACGTTCGACTTAGACTCTCTCGTTTTAAAGGACAAAACAATATTATAAACTGTAGGATAGAAAGGAACACAAAACAATAAACGACTGAAAAAAAAGAGACAAAAATGTACTCAGACTAGACTATATTATAAAATAGGGATAGAGATCAGTATGTACTTACCTACAGATACGAAAAACTATTATCTAACTTAGACGACTAGGTACATTTCCAATCATTGTATTATCGCTAGATTTCTAGGACGAACATTAAATGACCCATGAAAGCATGTTAGAAATGCGTAATCATTACAGTTCTTTATTAATTCCCGATCCGCTTATGTTTTTGGAAATATTTTTTAAATCTTAATCTGCTTAAAATTTGATGTGTATAAATAAATATGTTCCCTACAGAGTCCGTAATGACTGGAGCGATTTCAATGAATTTTTCACGAAATCTTCAGATACGTCTTAAGAATTGAGTTTCATTTTATTGCTTAGATGGGTGGACGAGCTCACGGCCCACCTGGTGTTAAGTGGTTACTGGAGCCCATAGACA